AGGACAAGGATCTCCACATAAAGATCGCTTATTTTTGGACCATCACGTAATAATAATCAAATAAAACGGTACGGACGTAATTTTCCCTCTTTCTATTTTTTCTTTTTTTTGCTGGAATCGTGGTCATAGAGATGAATAGAAATGCGGAGTCTCAAATCCTCAATCCATTTCCAAGTTGGATTTTAAGGCGCCGCCGCATGCAACCACAGCTGCACCAAAACCTTCTTACTAAAAGTGAAGAGATATCGTTTTCTAGCTTTTTCATCTAACTGGTACTGTTATTATGCAGGTTCCCATGACAGAGACCACACACAAAGAGGGTTGCACTGTTAATGTTACAAAAGCTAGAGCCTCTGCAGCAAAGGAGAAAGAGGCAAGGGTTTTAAGGTATAGAGAGAAGAAGAAGAACAGAAAATTTGAAAAGAAAATAAGGTATGCCTCAAGGAAAGCCTTTGCTGACAAGAGGCCTCGCATTAAAGGCCGCTTTGTGAAGAGAAATGAGGTCTGTGACCTACCCAAGTACCCCTCCAAGCTTGGCATGGATAGGTTCCATCCCTAAAGAGAGAGAGAATCCTAGAGAGATTTCAATGATAGATTGATGGTCATGTTTGAATAATGAGCATTATGGTTGCCAAAAAAAAATCAGAATTTCAAGTTCTAAAAATAGTGTAAATTGCCCCCTAAAAATAAATGTTCACATATTTGCAAGATTATTACTATTTTTTAATTTTTAATTTTATCGTTGTTATTGGAAATTGATTTTAGAGCAAATTGATTATAGACCCATCATGATGATTTCAGGTGCTCCATATGAAGATTTGAAGTGAGGCTTTATTTTGTTTTCATAAAGCTTAGGCCCTATAAAAACTTCATCCTTACATGTTTATAGGAAAAATGCAAAGCAAGAAGTTGAGTTTTTCCATAGGAAAAGTGTATTTGGTAGCCTTAAGCTTTGCTTTTAGCTGCTTCTTCTTCTTTGACTTTTTTTTTTTTTGGAATGTTACTTCTAGATTGGGCTTTAGTCTGGTTGTTTTGAAAAATTGCTTTATTTTACGAGATTGTATACAAGGAGACCATTTACCTTTGGATATGGAGGTCACAATTACTTATAATTATTTGATGTGAAGTCAGATAGCTTGGATGTGTCACAAAGTTCAAATAAATTTCTTTCAAACTTCGAGTTTGGTCAATAAAATAAATGCAGCCATCCAATTTCACATCCAATAGTCAAGTTTAATTGTAACTAAGATATATGGTCTCATTGTATACTTTTCCTTATTTTATATGGATTTTGGGCCTTCAAACTCTAGTTATTATGGGTGGGTACGAGAAGTTTCCATGCATAGAGGCCCAAGCCAAAAAAAAGTATGGTCACTTTTTTCTTTTCTCTTTTGGATAAATCAGTTGAGGATATAGGCTCCTCCCTGTTTTAAATGGGGAAATTATATACGGACCAGATTATTGATCTATTATAACGAAATACACTAAAAATAAGTTGTTATCATCAAGAAAGATGGAATCCCCATTCCTTTTGTTTTTTTACAAATTTGCCTCCGGTCTGATGCTATTAACCCCATCCCTTTCTCCTAGAGGTCCCCTTGAGTTTTTTTTTTTACCTTCAATCTGATGTTAGAAACATCAGACCGCCAACAGTTCATATTTTTTTACATAAATAAAGCGGTCCGAACCGCACACTATTCAATTTTTTTCCCAAATCGCCACTTACTACTAAAAAAAACTTTTCCCCAAATGGGGGTTAAAAAGCGATCTGATATTTACAACATCGAATCGATGGCAAATTTGTGAAAAAAAAAAAAAAATGGGGATTCCATCCTTGTTAATAACGACCCATTTTTTAGCCATATCGTTATAACTGATCAATAATCTGGCCTATAAGTAAATTTCTCTTTGAAAAATAATTAGTATTTTTCAAATGTTTGAATGGGAATGAAAATCTAGACCAGTAGCTAAGGCAGTGCTAACACCACTACCTCAACCTAATTCCCCACATTCCAACGTAATACAATGCATTACGTAGCCTTTTGAAGTAGCTCTATTTGCTAAGGTTTCTCATGTTTGTTTGGGAAGTATTGAGTAACATTGTTCTCAAACACCCGAGTTGAATCAACTCTCTTGACTCGACCGAAGCCCATGTTTTTATCATGCAAGACTTTTGTTTTTTTAAAAAGTTTGGCTTATAGTTTTATATACGTTATTGTGTAATATATGGATATATAATATATAAGGGTGCGGTTTGTATTGAGTTGAGCTCTAAACAATCTAAAGCTCAGGTTCAAATAGTGTTGAAAAATGCGGTTTCAATATTGGAAATATTTGTGATAGCCTTAAAATATATTTTCATCTCTAAAGATAAAATTTAAAGCTTTAAATACCATGTAGATCAAGCAGATCTATAAAAATCTTGAAAATTGATGGTACAAAAATGTGTTACATGATGCATTATTTCCAAAACTTGAAATCCATTTTTTTCTCATGTCCATGCATCTTGATGTCGAGATGATCAATTTGATGATATTTGGGCATCAAAACAACCTCATCTAGTGAAATTTTTGAGGTGAGCTCTAATTTAATAGTTTAGAGCCTCAGCTCTATATAAACTTTTTTCAAGATATAATGGATGTGGTTTGTATAAAGTCGAGGCTCTAAACAATCAACATAAAGCGCGTCTTCAAATAATATTGAGAAATGTGGTTTAATATTGGAAACCTTTGTGATAGCCTTAAATATATTTACATCTCTAATTATAAAATTTAAAACTTCAAAAATAGTGTAGATCAGCATAGCTACGAAAACTTGAAAATCTTGAAAATTTAAAGCCCAAAAAAAAATTATTTCTATAATTTGAAATCCTGTTTTTTCTTTTGTCCATACATCTTGAAGTCGAGATGATCAATTTGAGGATATTTGGGCATCAAAACAACCTCTTCTAGTGAAATTTTTTAGATGCACCTAATGTGATTGTTTAAAGCCTTGGACTTATATAAATTTTTGCAATATATAATAGATTTTTTTATGTATCGACACCTGTTGTGTTTTTCTATTACCATTTGATGTTATTTTTCTCAAAAATTACAAAGAGCATCCCACCGTCGTGGCACTTTTTTTATTTTTCCTAAGTTGCCCTCACATCTAGCAATAACAACAACAACAGGGAGGTGATAAACCCCACACGCTCCTTAAATGCCTTGTGGTTAAATTAAAGAAGATGACGTACTCCTGGAGGAGTATAGTATAAGTCTATTTTTTTATTTTTAAAATTTTGATATTTCAGGGGCATGGATGTAGTTTTTTATTTGTTGTTGGCTGATTTAGGACTTGAGACTTAAAGCGGTTAAATAGGGAATTTAATTTGATGATTTGGGTAGAATATCAAAGTTCCCATTTTTTCCTTTTTATATTTACGTGATATTTTCCTTGAATAGCTGGGATAAATTTAGATTCATTTAGAATGATTTCTTTGAGGGGAAGTTTAATATGTTTAGGAAAGCTATCACGGGGGACGGCAATCATGTGATGAGGGGACATGAAAGAGGGTTATCTTGTCTTCTTTAATGGTTATTTATTTTTTGTATTTATGGGGGTGTTGCAACCCATCATATGAAACCTTAATGCCAAGGTGTCATCAACGTGTCGAAGAAATGAAACCTCCCTCTAGTCGGTAACCCCGAAAATGTCCAAATTGAACCGTTTGTTGGGCTGATGTTTTTCTTGGGGCCGTGGTGAAAGCGGAGTATGATCACATTCTTATTTTATTATATACTAGTGGAGTGGCTTTTAAACCCCCGCCTTTCCATTTTGAATTGATGTGGTTGGAGGATAAATCTTTGGTTGAGGTTGTTGATAGCACTAATGGCTCATCTGTAGCCGGGTTTTGTTCTGTCCAACAAGCTGAAACTTCGGAAAAATAAGCTTAAACTGTGGGGCATAACTTAATTTGGCAACCTAGACGAAAATATTGGTAGACTGGAACGTGAGAATGAGCGATTCCATCCCTCAATTCGTTGGAACAAACGAATGGGGGTCTCTCATCCCATCAGATGCTAGACATAGACTCTAAGAAGAAGGATCTTGATAACTTTCTCAAGGTAAAATGAAATCTTTTGGTGTCAAAGATTCATATCTAAATGGGTTAAGGAGGGAGATAACAATACAAAATATTTTCATGTTATTACCAATTCCATGAATAGATCCAACTGTCTGACTGGCTTATCCATCCAAGATACTAACATGGATAATCCTATGGCTGTAGCGAAGCCATTGTGAAACACTTCAAACTTGCCTTTTCCTTTGAGCAGGGACTACAGCTTGACTTTCATGATGCGTCTCTTAAGACTTTTGTCTCATGTTTCAGCCTTGAACCTCGAAAGTGAGTTTACCCTTGAAGAAGTCAAGAAGGATGTTTTTGGCCTGCCTAGGGATAAGGACCCTGGCCCAGATGGTTTCCCTTTGGATTTCTTCCAAAAATTATGGGATGTGATAAAGGTGGATATTATGCGCTAGGTTAATCAATTTCATATAGACGGGATTGTCTGCAATGCTATTAACTCTACATTAATCTCTCTTATCCCCAACAAGATGTCTATTAGCTCTTTTAAGATATTCAGCCCATTAGTCTGCTCTCGGGTTTGTACAAAATTCTGACCAAGATGCAGGTAAATTATCTACGTCTGATTATCAGTGACGTAGTTGAGGGCCCTCAAACGGCCTTCATCAAGGATAGGTTTATCGTGGATGTTATTTTGTTGGTACAAGAAACCCTCCATACAACCGATATGTTGGGCTCCAAAGGCTTGATGCTTAATATTAACTTCGAAAAAGTTTATGATAGAGTAGAGTGAGATTACTTAAATAAGATAATGGACCTTATGAGTTTTGGTGTGAGATGGAGAAAGTGGATTTTGGGCTGTCTCTCAACTCATTTCTCAGTGTTTAATGGGAAAGCGAATGGCTATTTCCAAGCCACAATAGGCCTGAGACAGGGTGACTCCTTATCCTCTTTTCTATTTACCTTAGTTGCTTAGGCTTTTAGCAAGATGTTACAAGGTTTGGTAGACATGGAAAAGATCAAGGGTCTACATGCCTAGCCTAATGGCATGGTAGTCGACCATTTGCAATATGATGATGACACGCCATTTGTAATATGATGATGACACATTGATCCTCTTTGAGGGAATTAATACAAATGCGCATAATATTTAGTTGTTTCTTAAGCTTTATGAGTTGATCGGATCAATATGGATAAATCTAAGCATCTTGGAATTAATTGCTCTGCCACTAAAGTTGACAACTGGGCCAACTAGCTTGACTGTGGGGTTGAATGCTTCCCCACGAAGTACCTAGAGTTGTCACTCCTTAATGGTAGTTCTCCAAAGTCTCTTTGGGATCCTCTCATTCAAAGGGAACGGGGTAAATTGGATGGCTGGAAGGCGAGATTCTTGTCCTTTGGTAGCAGAAATATTAATGCTGCTTTGTCTAACCTTCCTATTTATTATTTCTCTCTTTTTCAAGCATCAGTTGTACTTATTGCTAAGATTGAAGTTTTAATGTGCAATTTTCTCTAGAATGGTTCCCAGAATGAGAAGAAATTTCACTTGGTTAAATAGGACTCAATTTGCCAACCAAAACGAGAAGGGAGGCTGGGTATTCGTAGACTCAGGGCTGTCAATGAATCATTGCACCGAGTGGTGGTGGAGATTATCAGCGAATGGTGATCAGCTCTGGGCTAAGGTGGTTCTCGATAAATATGGCCAAGATTTGGATGGTCCTTACATTAGGCGGTGTCCAAGATCATTGAATTTGTCCAAGGTTTGGCGAGGTATCCAAGATGTTCGGCCTCTTTATGGCCTACACGAGGATGCTTGTTGATGATGGACGGTTTACCGGGTTTTGACATACAAAATGGCTTAGGGAGCACCCTTTGAAACTCCTCTATCCAGAACTTTATAGAAAGCCGACCCAAAAAAGAGCTTTGATTGCTGACTTGTTCACCTTTGTGGATGGTAAACCTGTGTGGAATGTCACCCTTTCCATTAGAAGGGTGGACCACATGGTTGCACATCAATACTCGGCTTTGCTTGAGGCTTTGTACAGTTTCTATTTCTTTCCGAGGAAACATGATAGGCTCATCTGGAGCCTAGAGCCGAGAGGGCAGTTCTCCCCCACTTTGCTTTATGAGGAGGTTTGGAGGGATAGATACTTTGAGGATAAACGATACCTAGCCAAGTTCTGGAAGTATAAGGTGCCTCTCATGGTAAAATCCTTCCTTTGGCTCCTTGCTTGTAGGAGATTGCTTACTGCGGACGAACTACGGAGGAGAGTCATGATTATCACTAATGTTTGTTTGTTATGCAAAGTTATGGGATTGGATTGCTAGTATGTCTAACTAGCATGGACCCTGGCCTCAGGATATCCAGATTCTGCTACAACAAACGTGGAACCCTCCATTTGCATCCTTGGGGGCTAATCTTTTGGAGAATTACTATTGTTGCATCTCTCTAGTCCCTTTGGAAAGAGAGAAATCTGAGAACTTTTGAAGATTTGATCTAGGGACTTCCCCACTCTACGCTATGCTATTCAACGGTTTATTGTAAGTTGGGCTTATGCTTCTCTTATGTTGACTCTGGTTCCTAGTCTACTCTTCTTTACTCATTTCAATGACCTTCTGGCTCTTGGGAAGAGCAGCTCTACGATTCGTCAGCTATATAGCAGAAACCACCAGAAGGTTGGTTCAAACTCAATTTCGATGCAAGTGTTAGGGGAGCACAGTCCGGTTTTGGTGGCCTCCTTCATGATCCTACTAGTTATACGATCTGGTCTTACTCCGGTAGCCTCCATCCTTGCGAGATTAATGAAACTGAGCTTTGGGCCCTTAAGAAAGGTATGTCCCGCCTAGACCAGGTACTTCAGAAAGCGATCATTGAAAGAGACTTTGCCAATGTTATCTCGTGGTGTATCCAACCAGATCTTGTTCCTTGGAGGTTTAGTGCAATCATGTATGAAATTCTTTTGGCTCCTAGGGACCGTGATCTTTTATTTCTTCATATTCATCGTAGTTCAAACACTGATGCGGACTCCTTAGCTAAGCTGGCTAAGGCTCCTCTCTCTTCATATTAACGTCCGCTTAGATGCCTTCTCTTCTTCTTTTTTTCTCTTTTTGTTTATCTTTTCTTTTTTTTTTCTTTCTTTTCTTCTTTTACCTTTTTCTTGTAATCCTTTAGTATCTTAATAAATATCGCACTTACTCAAAAAAAAACAAAAACAAAAAATATTGAAATCTCTAGTCCAATTGCAGCCACTTCAAACCAAATGAAGATTCCTTTAGAGTTTACCTGATAGATCTACTAATGACAACCATGTTAGAGAAGAGAAAGAGGGAAGCCCTAGACTTGGACCCGAAAAAATGATATGGGACCAAGATTTGAAACAATGATATAGGACCCAGACCGAGACCTAAAAATATATTGTGGGGCTAGACCCGAACCCGATCGAACCTAATCGGACCCAACCAAAAAATTAAAATATCAATATATTTAACTATGTTTAAATATGTTTACCTATATGTGGGACCCAAAAATATTACCCAACCGGATCAAACCCAAACCCGCAGTCGAATGGTGTCCATGTCATGCCTCAACACAACATCCCACTTTTCTTTCCAACAGTTTAACATATAAATATATATAAATGAACACACGTATAAATATACATGCATAAATATATATGCATCCCACACAGCTAGCCACTGAGATCGCAAGCTCTCTGACCTAGTATCATTATAACTAGGGAAATTATAAATTTGATACCTATATACACTGATATCCTCTATAGTTATCAATATTAAATAAAATTTTAACCATTCATGTGCTTTTTTTTATAATGTTTACCTTCTTCCCTGTATAGCTAGTTTGGAACAAATAATTCCAAGCTAAGGGTGGCAATGGATCCAACCAGACCTAGAACCCGAAAGGTAGACCCGAGGCGGGTCCAAATTTTACAATCAAAAGATTGGGTCCAAGTCCAAAACCTTGACCCGAATATTTGTTTCTTAGGTATTTCCAATTAATACATAAAACAAGGAATGAGAGTATATGTGGATATCCATAAATATTGTGCAATACTGTAAATATTGGCAATAATATTTGTACACGATGATAAAAAAAATCAGAAGAAAAACAAAAAAAAAAAGGTCCCAACGGACAGACCTAACCTCAGGTCTAGATATGGGTCCACACTTTGGAACCAAAGGTTGGGCCCATGTCAAAAACCTAAACCCGAATGCTATTGGGGCATGGGCCCAAGTCCAACTGGATCGGACCCTTTGCCACCCCAATTCCAAGCCACTTAGATCTACTAGGAACTAAACTAAACGGTCACAAACCATTTTAGTATCAAATATCTGCTTTGATTTCTTACAATGAACGATCCATTACTATTAGCTCTAATCCAAACTTTCTTTTCTATAAGGAGTAAGAGCAGTCGCAAAACTTATAGCTTGAACTTTGATACTCTTTCTCTAAAGAATTCATATAACCGATTCCAATTAGTTGAAAAAAAGCTTTGACAATAAACTATTTTGATTCCTTACCATGATATATGTTCCAAACAAGGGTAATATTATTTCCATTCAATTATATTTCCACATAATAAAAGACAACTGAGAAAAAGAAATTAATACAACAAAAATTAAGCAATTTTAGGTTTAAGAGAATGTATATAGTGAGACCATACAAGATAGTCACAAAAAATCTTGACAATTAGATATGAAATTGGGTGGCTGCATTTATTTCATTAACCAAGCTCAAAGTTCAAAAACAAATATCTCGAACCTTATGACACATCCAATTTCCCATTAAATGTTTGTAAGTAATTGTAACCTCCCTGTTCCAAAAGTAAATCGAAATTGTCTCATTGTATCCAATCCAAGCATAAATGTCCCTTTCAGGTCTCATTGCCATGTCAAAGCAAAACAAAAAATAAAATACTGCAGTCTATCAGTACTAGAGTCACCCCAATGCTTTAAAAGATTAGGTAATAAGAGAAATAAAATAAATAAAAAATAAGGCCAAGGCTTTATAGAAAAAAGTAAAGCTCAAAAACTAATAACCCATTTGAATCCTCTGAAATAGTGCAATACTTAAAAGAGTGCGCCCATTTTTCACCCCTATAATAAAATTGAATGCTCTGAAATTAGTGCAACACTTAAAAAGAGTTAGCCCATTTTTCACCGCTATAATAAAATTGAATGCTTTGAAAATAGTGCAATACTTAAAAGAGTGCGGATTGTATATAGCCTAGCCTCTAAACAATCAAATTAGAGCCTACCTTCAAATAGTATCGAGTAATGTTGCTCTTCAAAATTAGAGTAAATGTTGTTCTTCAAAATTGGAGTAGATTGATAGATCTATGAAAACTTGAAAATTGATGGTCTAAAAATACATTACAAAATACACTATTTTCAAAACTTGGAATCCATTTTTTTTCCATGTCCATATATCTTGAAGTTAAGATGATCAATTTGAACATATTTGAATATCAAAATAAGCTCTTCTAGTGAACTTTTTAAGATAGGTTCAACTTTGATTGTTTAAAGCCTCAGCTCTATATAAATTGTTCCTATACTTAAAATCGCCAATCTAAAAATCTAGTTATAGTATTACAAGATGCACTAATTTTAAAACTTGTAAGTAATTCATATGGTATTACCATATGCACTAATTTTAAAACTTGCAATTCATATGGTATTACCGGATGCACTAATTTTAAAACTTGTAATTCATTTGTTTCTTTCATATCCATATATACCAAGGCCAAGATGATAAATTGAAAAATTCTTTAGTGATGAAAACCTTTTTCAATGGGTTTTGGAGAATTCTTTAGTGATGAAAACCTTTTTCTATGGGTTTTTGAGATGCTACGTACGTACTTCTACAAGCATAAAGTTGACACCACATATAAACTTTTTCCTTATTTTTTTCATAAAGTTTAGCCTTGTGGAAACGGCTTAAAACCATACACAACATAGAACGAGAACACCCGAGCTACAAGAAGCTCAACAGCTGCGTTATACTTTCCAATCACAATGCACTACGAGGTACACTTCTACACCATTCGTTCTAGTTCATCACCATATCACCTTTTCCCAACTATTTTGGGGTCGGTTAACACCATTCATTTTAATTAAACAGTATAAATCAGACATCTTTTAAGACAGTATCGAAAAGTACCACACCCTTCAAAATAGTGTTAAATGTGCACCATCCAAATAAAATGGAGGGTGGTGTAAATCATTGCAACCTTACTTCTAACCTTACTTCTATTCCACAATGAAAGGTTGCAACATTATATGAACTTGTTTCCCTCACATGTGGTATGCCAACCACTTGAAAGGTCAAGAACTTGTTTGTGAGAGAGAGACCCAAAGTAACAAATTGGAGAAACCAGGGTTTGGCAAGTCAATCACCACATTCACCTCGTCCATTTTAAAATTCTCATACACCTCGTCCATTTCAAAATTCAAAACTTGTGATCAAGAAAAATCGTCCATTTCAAAATTCAAAACTTGGGACCAAGAAAAATCATAAGAGTGAGAGCCAGAAAAAAACCTTCAACAAGCCTAACGGTAGCGGCGCAGGGACAGGGTGTTGTTTCTCTTCCAAGTAGCACGTCGAGAAGGGCGGTTCTTGTGGTACAAATGGCCTTTCCCTCGGAGGCCCCGGTACTTCTTTCCAGCTGAAGTTAACCCGCGAAGCTCCCTGTGCTTATGAACAGGATTACAGATCCAGTTGATCCTTGGATCATTTCTAATGGCATTATGTGCAGCATCAACCAGTATCACTTCATAATACTTATACGTCGAATCCTGCAAATTATTTAACAAAAGAACCCCGCCAGTTAAAAACTGCATGGATATGAACTACTTATACTATATCATCATTAACAATATAGAACTTTTCTTTTGGCTAAGGAATTTGCAGGACAAGAAACATGAAAAGGAGAAGTCCTGAATGTCTAAAACAGTAAGGTTACGATCCAATGCTACTATCTCAATATCAATCTACACAAATTCAGAGGCAAATGATGGATGCTTGGAACTCATCAAAGAAATGAATGGTTTGCAACATTAATCTACAGATAATATAATGCAAAAGATAGAAATTGATGAACATTTAAAAGAAAAAAATGATGGGCAGCATAAGTTTTCATACAATCCTGATAAATCTATAGCAAATAGAAGGGTTATCTGATAACAGGAGTCTTTTGAATTGATTAAAAACCTTGAATGTTGAAACCCATAATAGAAATGGTGCAAGATCTTTTGGGCAAACCTGATTAATCCAGTAGGAGTTCAAGACCTTGAGGCCACCCAATTTACGACCTGCACGCTCCTCGGCGACTGATCTCTTGTTGCGCTGGAACTTAAGCTGGGTAATACCCTGGTTTTTAGGCTTCCCATACACAATACCCTTGGGGACTGGCCTCTTGCGTCCACCACGTCTGACCCTGACACGGTAAATGACATAACCCTGAAAAATGTCCAATAACAAAGACAATCAACATACGACATCAATAAAAAACATAAGCGAAAAGATTATAAGCAGTAGCATATCGCACCTTCAATCCCTCGAGTAAAAGTAAAACCTTATCTTCAGTATTTATAGAACCCAAAATTTTGGAGGTATAACCTTCTCAATCTTATAAAAAACAGTCTGGAAATGAGAATGCTCCAAGAGTACAACAGAGACCCTCCAATTTTTGGATGGTCAGATTTATGCGTATAGGAGTTCCAAATCCAGATTTTTCTTTTTAAATATTTTTCTGGTGATATGTGACCATGTCAAAAAATAATAATATTTTTCTGCTGATTCTAAAGTAGAGATCCCAAAAAAAAATTGATTCACAAGATCTGCCTAAGTGGGTCTTTTCCCAAGAGAGTTAGTGTTTACTACTTCAGCAGAAATTCAATTTACATTCCCACAACATAAACCTAAACTTAAATTCCAAAAAGTAACATAAGAGCACAGTCAAACATAGGTCCTGTGAGAGCAAAAACTTGCACAAATATGCTATCATATTTTATAAGAGCAAAACTTGCAAAACATGCACCATTGACCGGTAATAGGGATGTATCATCGACTGGGCTCAAAATCCAAAAAAAAAAATTGAACTATGTAACACACCCTGAGCAGTCAAATTTCATATTTAATGACTATGGGTAAGTGTGACTTCCTTGTACCCAAAGTAAATGGTGTTAGAGCATAGGCTAGAAATCTAGACTCCCTGTTAGGGGCATATTTATTTACATTGAATCAAACAAAACAAATGAATCAATAAAATGGCCACCATCCACTAAAAAAATCCTATTAATCTTCCTATCTTTTGATTATTTATCATTAAAGATAAACCAAAGAAGAAGCCAAAGCAGCAAGCATCGCACAATACCAAGCAAAAATGAAAAAAAGAAAACTAGTAAAATGACATCAGATTGGTACATCTCTCTCATGGCAAAGTAAATGAAAGACGCATACCTGCTTGGCTTTGTAACCCAGTCTGCGAGCCTTATCAGGGCGTGTGGGCCTGGTACAACGGACAATGGATGGGAGCTGCCTGTATTCCCAGCACCTCACCCTCTGCAAAAACCTCATTACATCTGACTGCTTCTTCCTCCACATCTCTGACACATACTTGTAGGCACCTAATGCATTCCCAAAAGAAAATTAATACAACCCAAATTTCGAACCCCAACAATAAATTTCCAAGCATCAGCTAATTTATACATGAGCATCAAAAATCCATACTTCGAAAGATTAAACAAAGAGGTAGAGAGAATGTGTGAGTGAGAAACAGGTCATCAAAGAGTATCAAAAATGCACTATAGAATAAAAAACTAATTTCACAAGTTAACTATATGTAAGTATACATCAGCACTTCCAAAACAAGCATTCAATAGGCCATATATAACTGAGAGGGCAGCATTTTACTTGCTCCAAACACAACAGCAAATCAACTGAGATTTCATGGAAACAGTGGAATGCTCTTGGCTGCACTTCGTAATCATTTTTCAAAGATTAAGATATGCATTACCGTAAAAGGTGCATTTCCATGCATGTGGATCAACTAATCCACACATCCTAATTCCAGATCCTACATATACATTTCCCCAGTGCTTTACCATTCTTGCACAAGTTAGAAGGGCTCGAAAGGGTGCCAAACTCAAATTCAGGCAGTATATAAAAAATACAAAGTGTATTTTACCCCGGCAAGTACTGTAGAGACTCACCCAAGGGCTGTGAAACTCAAACAAGTAAATACCCAAGAATTGTAAAACTCATGCAGGCTGACTCGCACACAGTGACAAATTAAGAGATCCAAGATTTCAACCTAGGATTTTCCCAATTTCAAGATCTCATTATTTCATCGCAAAGGGTAGTAAGTCTTCAGTGACAGTTGATACCTAAACCTATTTTGGGTTCTTCATCCAATCAAACGCTTATTTTACCCTAAAAATTTGGATTTTTTATATTCTAATTTTCAGATTCACTATCCATCCAAAAATTTCGAAAACCCGGATCTCCAAAATGTGACTTGAAACCCAAAATGGGTTTGGGGGTTCGATTGGGGTTTCATGAGGAAGCTTTGACAAGCATCAAAAACCTTGATTTGCATCAAGTGCCTAGATCTCAGAACCAGGAGGTTTGCTCAAATTTTTGGTCAAGTTCTTTTTTACACTTTAAACTAATAAAATTGCTGTATCTTTTATATCATATGATCTAGTAGCAGTTTAGTTATTGTTGAATTTTATAGTTTATACACTCTTTTTTTGCTTTTTACATATTTCTTATTTTCTACCCATTCTTTCAATTCTTACTGTGTTTCAGGATGTTCCCCAGTTTTCTCAGTCTTGTCCCTTTTGCAAAATTGTCACAGATGGCAGCAGTTGACTCATACTCAATGGAGTAACACGGCCATGAGAGGGACCAAGTTCTGTGGCAGAAAAGAATTGTAAAACGTTGCACTTTCATACATGAGTAGCAAAATCTACAGACCCCAGCTCAAAATACTAAATACAACAATTCAATGCCTGAGCACCAAAATCTATCTCCTAATAATGCATTTCCATAGTTAAGCGCCCACATCTGTAAAACCTTAGTTCTAAACCATATACATACTTTTCATAGTTGAGCACCAAATTTTACACGACCCTTACTCTTAACCCTCAGTATACTTGATTGGTAAAAAAAAAACAGAAGAGAATCATATTTTTACTTGCAGATCTAACACAACGTCCATGAAGATATGTACACTCATCGTGATTCTGCAGAACCTTGATTTCAACCCTCTTTATACGTTTCGAAAATGAGGATTCGTATACAAGAGCATCAAATAATCCATGGATGAGTAGCACCAAACCCCAAAATTACATCTCTAGATGCATGCACCTAAACCTACACTAAACCCTAAACATTAACGTTCATTGTTGAGCACCAAAGTATACAGGAAACTATCTCCTAGCAATAACAAATAAAACTATACTGCATCTTCGCTGAGAAAAAAGGAAAACAAATAACGTTTTCCTCACTAATCCAACAAAAAATACACAACACTGCAAAGCGACTCTCGCTCAGACGTTCTACAGAGCCCTAACTATACAATTCGATAAATGAGAATTTCAAAACAAGTATCAAATAACCCATGGAACATTAATTCCAATTCCAAAACACGAATCTCCATATATGAGCGCCAAAATATGCAAAGCTCCAGGCCTAAACCCTAACACACATTTTTCAGCCAAAATGTACATGACGTAACTCCAACCCCTGAATATTAAATTTCACTACTGGATTAAAGAGAGAAATAAAAACGATCGATATGCATTTTACTTGTTATAACAACATCCATCAAATCTGCAAACTAGTTTTGCGTGACTGTGATTCCAGATCCAAATCACCATGGAACATCAAATACAGGCATGAATACAAACAGAAATAAAGGATAATTCCATTTCCCTACGGAGAAAACCTCACATCCATGACTCAATCCATATTATTCTACAGTAATAAAACCCTAAAATCCATGATTCAGATATTATTCCATTATAACAAAACCCTAAAATCCATGATTCGGATATTATTCCATTACAACAAAGCACATCATATTCAATTCAAATAAATGAAACCCTAAATGTTGCTTACCCATTTTCGCAGAGCTCAGTGAGCAGCGGAGACACATTGATAATTAGGGTTTCGTCTTGATTTATAAACGGAGGTTTACAAATAACGAGAGGATCGCGGCCTTCCATTTCTAAACGTAATTTGGACCGTCGGATGGGAGGTGCACAGAAATTATACGTGAGACTCTCAATAATAACGATCTTGTCCTCAACATACAAGAGAGATAGGTTAAAGTGCCATATTATAGTCTTTAAAGTATGAAAAGGCCATTGTTTATGTTAATTAGTGTGGAGAAATTACACGCATAATTATCCATTCACTCTCATGGGTAAAACCCAATTTATGATTATTTTTACCCCAAATTAACCTCATGAGCAAGGGGATCAAACAAGTGGCTCTAATAAGCTAGTTATGTACAGCGCAAATTTAAAATAACAACTGTAAAGGGGTGCGAATTAGTTCAAGTGGAAGCTCAAAAATGATAAGAATAAGCTTAGAAAAAACTCTAATAATGACAATGATGAACCGGGGGATGAAACCCTAAATTAACGTCACCAACCAATGGAGGGGTTTGTGAGAGGGGTTAATATTTTTTCCGCCAAGTTAGCAAGGGGTTTGAATGAAAGGTGTGGTTTGCCTGGGGCCAAGCCCCCAAAGTAAAGCGCCCTTTCAAATAGTATTGAAATATGTTTTAATATCATAATTTTTTATGACCATCTAAAATTTTATTTTCATCTCTACCTATAAAATTTAAATATTTGAAAGTAGTGTAGATCGATGAGATCTATAAACACTTCTAGAAAATACAGTATAAGATGCATTACTTTCAAGACTTGAAATCTATTTTTTTCTCATGTTTATGCATCTTGAGGTTGAGATGAACAAATTGATGGTTTTTTAGAAGGGATAATATATTGTCAAAAATGTTTTTCTTGTTTGTCATTTGGATCAAAATTATAGGATTGAAAAACATTTCCGACCATAATTGTTTTCTTCATTTCATGCCAAAAATAAGGAAAATTGTATCATTGCATTTACCCTCATAAATTGATTTCCAACAGGATTTTAGAGATAATACAATTAATACAACAAAAATACCCCCATGAATTAAAGAGATAAAGTATCTTAAAATTTTAAAGAGAAACTGTTTCTAATTTTAGATAGGGAAACTATCAAAACAATTATAGAGAGAGAAATTATCTCAAAGTTTTTATAGCAAGAAACTATTTCAAATTTTAATTTTTTAAAGAGAAAAATATCTTAAAATTTTAAAGAGAGAAACTATATCAAATTTTAGAGTGATAAGTACCTAAAAAGGTTTTAGAGAGATAAACTATCTCACAAATTTTAGAGAGAGAAACTATCTCAAAATTTAAGTTTCAGAGACATAATATTGGACACTTTTTAGAAAGAGAAACTATCTCGAAATTTAAGTTTTATTTTGAGAAAATATTTGAAACTTTTTAAAAAGAGAAACTATCTCAAAAATTTTAGAGAGAAAAGTTATCTCGAATTTTAAGTCTGAGAGAGAGAGAAACTATCTCAAAGTCTAAGTTTTAGACAAAGAAAAGGCATAAAAACTATAGGAGAAAAATATCTCAAAAAATTTAAAGAGATAAACTATCTCATTTTTTAAGTTTTAGATAGAGAAACTATCTCAAATTTTGTAAAGACAAAAACTATCTGAATTTTTAAGTTTTAGAGAGATAAAAGACCTAAAATTTTGTAGGGAGAGAAAGTATCTAAATTTTTCTATAGAGAAACTATATAAAATTTTAAGTTCAAAAGAGATAAACTATCTCCAAATTTTTAGAGATAGAAACTATCTCAAATTTTAAAGTTTAGAAAAATAAAGTACTTGAAAATATTTAGAGAAAAAACTTATAACATAAATTTTAAAAATAACCATATCAAATTTTAAGTAGTAGAGAGAGAAAATGTCTCAAATTTTTTAGAGGAAAACTATCTCAAAATATTTAGAGAGATAAGTTATCTCAAATTCTAAGTTTTAGAGTGAGGAAATTTTTTAGAGAGAGAGAGTATCTTAAAAATATCAAAAAGAGAAACTATCTCAAATTTTAAGTTACAGAGAGATAAATTATCTTAAAATTTTAAGCAAAGACTATCAAATTTTAGCGAGAGAAACCATATTAAATTTTAAGTTTTACAGAGAGCAAGTACTTAAAAAGTTTTAGAGAGAAAAAATCTCTAAAAATTTTTAGAGAGAGAAACCATATCAAAAAATTAAAACAGATAAATTATGTCAAATTTTAAGTTTTAGAGAGAGAAAGTATTTGAAATTTTTTAAAGGGAGAATCTGTCTCTAAATTTTAGAGAGAAAATCTATAACAAATTTTAAATTTTATAGAAAGTATCTTAAAATTTTAAGAGAGTGAAAATGTCTAAAAAATTTTAGATAGAGAAATTATCTCATATTTGGAAAATGCTGATATTAGCCCGCTAGCTTATATGAACATATGAGCCCAATGGCCTAGATTGAATCTAGGCCGATCTAACGATCACGACCTCATTTCATAATTGAATTTTAATTTTTTTTATATAAATCCAAATGACTTGAAATTTTAGACGTTCATTCTTCTCATCAAGACGCACCAAATAAAAATATTTTAAAATTAATTCACAATAAATAAATTAACCAAAATACCCCCAAAATATTTCAAGGGTATTTTGATCAATTTATTTCTTGTAAATTGTTTTTTTGATATTTTTATTAGATTATCCTATTTTTCAAGAACACATGCCTAAAATTTTAAATTATTTGGATTTGTTGAAAAACATTAAAATTCAAATACAAAATAAGGTTGTGGCCGTCAGATCGGCCCATGTTCGATTTGGGTCATTGGACTCATATGAACTAGCGGGTTAATCGCAATATTTTCCCTCATATTTTAAGTTTTAGAAAGAAAGTATCTTCACATGTTAGAGAGACGAATTATATCAAATTTTGGGGAGAAAAAGTACTTAAATTTTTTAGAGATAAACTATCTCAAACAATTTAGAGACAGAAACTACTTGAATTTTTTTTAAAAAAGAAACTATTTCAAATTTAATAATAAAATGACATTATAATGAATCATATAATAAAATTTAACAAAAGCAATTAAGAAAAAAACATGAAAATGCTTTTTGTTTTTTTTTTAGAAAGGAAAAAAACATGAAAATGTTATGCATCCATGTAGCACCCAAACAACCAAAATCTATTTTTATAGGAAATACATTTCAAAAGAAATAGATTTTTCCAAAAAATCTTTTTGATAGATCTAAATGGCCCTTTTATCTGCTACATGAAGGACCTTCTTCCTCTTCTCTCTCTTTTTGTTTATACGGTCCTTCGATCCATCCCGTTCGAAGGCCATGGGTCCTTCAAATTTAGTTGCATTCTTTGGAAATCGCCACTTGATACAGTGTTTGAACTTGTAAAAGGCAAGTCCAGGTCCCTAGCTTGAAGATGATTGAAAACTCGGCCGAATTTGAGTAGTTGAAAACACAGTCAAGCCACTAAAACGCGCCCGAGTCTTGTTGTACTCGGCTACTTATGGAGCCGAGTGCTCTGAAGCAATTTGGGCCATTTAAAGAATAAAATAAATATAAAAATGTAAAACTATATTTGTAATTTTGTTGAACTGAAAATTATCTTGTAATTTGGATGTTTTTGTAATGATTTGTAGGCTTTTCTCGTGTTTTTATATTTTCCTCTTTTTGTGAAATTTTTAAGAATTTATTCATCCATGAATTAATCTCTTTCTAGTTCGATCCTTGGTTTTGTTACACTTTTACATCTTTTATTTTATATTTTTAAAACCATTTTTGGCCCATACACTACTCGGCCGAGTAACTCGTCTTGGACCAAGGCCAGGTCCAAGCCCTGGCCGAGTTTAGAAACATTGTTGCAATAAAGACATTGCACTGCTGCTGTATACCTTGTTCTCCACAATAATACCCTACCAAGAGGGTATATGTTTCTATATATGTATGATGCTGAATGACATCCAATGGGATCCAAAACTAGTTAGGGGTGGCAACGGGCACGGTCCGTGTATCAAACCCAGACCCGATGTTATCAGACCTGGACTGGACCCAGATTCAGAGCTAAACCCCACCCAAAACAATAAAAAAATAAATTCAGATATATTTAAATATTATATTAAATATATACTTGTATTATTTAAATATTATAACTAAAAATATACAGTTATATTTAATTAAATAATGACATTATTCTGGTTGAGTCCGAGACCCACCCGGCAGGTCCAATTTTTGGACCCATACCCGGACCTGGGTGAGGTCCAATCTTCGGGTCCAGGTCGGGGCTGGGTCCATTGCCACCCCTTGGCTAATGTCCAGGTTGGTGCACATATCATCCAATGTAGGGCTCAAGATGCCTTGTGTAACCTTAATGAAGCAGCAGAATAACTGGGTGCTTCTTGCGTCGCTCTTGAAATCCCAATCAAATATACTACCTTGCCATCGCCTTGTACCACATCTTATTGAACTGTAACACCAAGAATAAAAACTGATACAGAGATTATCATTGTTCCTTTACCATCATTCCCCAAACTTTCTTAACTTCTGCAACTCTGCACTTCATATGCTCACTTTCTTCTCTTTGAACAAAAGAATCACAATTCATAAGTAGTACAACTATCCATTGTCTTGTCTAGAATTTTTTAGAACATTGTACAAACATGCTTGCCATATTGGGTTTGTCACTCAATTTTCAAGCCATGAATCACATGCGGCTTGCACAGGAGAAATAAAGTTGAAAAACCAGCTAGATTTTTTTTTTTTTGGATCAATAGTTGAAACCAGCTCGATTTTTGAAACCGTTACACAAATCCAGATCTAATTAGCTGAAAATACGAGTGGGAGAAGACCACGAAGTATGTAATTGAGGTCCATGTCAGACTTATAAAATCTATCATCATCTGTGTTCAAAAAATCGAACTGGCAACAGAACCGGCCAGGTTCCAAGAAATTGGTAAACCGGCTGGTTAGATCAGCCTAACGGGGCAAGTCCCGATCAGTCAAAATAGTATTAAAAAATACAAACAAATCTAAAAAAGTATGAAAAGTATATTAAAAACATGATTAAACAAAACACATTCAAATGAAGTTAAAAATTAGTGAAAAAAAATGGATATTAAAAAATCGATTTATGCCCAAAGGTATTTTTGAAAATTAAAAAAAAAGGTCAAAAAATATAAAATTAAATATTTATGGCCAAAACAATTTCCAATCTTTGCCAAAATAATAAATAAATAAATAAATAACGCATTACAAAGAAATCCCTTATATTTTAGGATTTTATATATGTTTTTTTAATTCTTTTTAAAATTCTCGGCCGGATCACTCAAATCGGCCAAAACCGTGGCGAGTTCCAATCTAACCTGACATGTTCTGATTTGAACCAGCCAATATTGCATTCACTGGTCATAACCGACATGGTCAGACTGTTATTATGAATCTGTCCAGTAAAAACTGTTACTATGAATTTGTCTAGTAAAAACTGTCAGTTTTCATTGCATCCCATTTACGTAGAAACAGAAGTGAAGTGCCACACAGGTTTTGAGATTACTTGGTCCGTTTCCTCATTGCCGATGGCTCCCTGTCTCCCTGTTGCCGTTATGGTCCAAACCAGTGGGGAGAAGGGATTCACTAGCCAAGGAGGCTAATCAATAAATATAACCTGAAAATGAAATAAAATCGCTGCTGGGAAAAACTTTGAGGAATTGAAAAGGCAATGATAATGTAAGTTCATAAATGGGAAACACATTCGACTTCGGATTACAAGATTCAACATCCATAACACCTGCTGAAACAGGTTCACTTCCCATCTAGCTACACGGATAATGGGAAATAGAAAACAGGTGGAATACGTCATCAATATGTAAAGATAAACTGAACATAAGACATGCCCACAGACATGCTCATGTACATATGTTGCAAATTTCTGCTGCAGAAAAACCACATTTAAAGACAAGCCATTAACAACTGCCTAAATACGCAAACGAATGGGCCACCCAAAGCCAAGCCAACGGGCAATGATCCCTGAGAACCTGATAGAAGGACACTCTGGATAGAGCAAGAAGGCAAAGTGGTGTGGTTATTAGGAGACCGAGATGTGAGTGAAGTTCAACTGCAAGGAATAAGATGAGAAGCAGAATCCATGCACCTAGACATAATACATCCAAAGAAGACCCATAACCAGAATATCCCCAGATAATTCACAAAATCTTCTACAGTTGGAGAAGCAGAACCCATGCACCTAAACATAATACATGCAAAGAAGACCCATAACCAGAATATCCCCAGATAATTCACAAAATCTTCTACAGTTAGAGAACTTTCCTAATATACAACTCCAGCAGTTCCAAATTGGTAAACCGAACACATCCTAAAAACGACCACTAGCTTCGTCCCTATGATAGAATTAGAGATTAAAACAACAGAAGACTCATGGCAGCACTATGACCTACCAAGTTCCAAAGATCAACACTCATCTAGGTGGAAGGAGAAGAGGAGAAAAAAAGAAGTACCAGCTCTCAACCAAATTCTTATTCAAAGTAACCAAGAAGGGGAACCAGCTCCCAACCAAATCCTTATACCAAGTTCCCATACATTACAAGCTAGTTTATTCATGCAGTGCAATATTTATTGACCCACCTTGCTAGCTAAACCCAACCGCTGCCCAAAAGTTTACTTGGGTTGACCAGTGGAAATCAATTAAAAAAAGAAAAGAAAAAAGAAGCTGAAGTTTCCAAAATCGGGTTGACCCATGGAATCCAATTAAAAAAAAAAAAGATGCTGAAGTTTCCAAAATGTGTTATATTTGGTGGTTGGCCGCAGCTGATGAAGCTTGGTATCAAAAGAAAGATATTTTAGTCTCGAGATACTGGAACAAGACAACCTTAGTTCTTGTGTTGCATTCTCCCGCTCTCTGTGCCAGCGTAAGGATCAAGCATCACATTTATAAGTGCTGGCTTCCTAGCAGAGAATGAGTCCGTGAGAGCAGATTTGAGCTCTTGAGGCGTGCTTGCAAGATAACCTTTGCCTCCAAATGCTTCCATCATCGTGTGATAAGCTGCCTCTGGAACAAAGGAAGTGGGTGCAGGGTCATCTTTATATGGCCCCGAAATTTCTTCGGGATTCCTCCGATCACCACCATAGACTCCATTGTTGTTGAAGACAATCACAACTACAGGCAGTTGGTACCTTACCAAGGTCTGCAACCATTAGAGAAGTCAAGTTACATCAGTAACCTGTGGTCGTATGTCACCATTTCACTTTCAAAATTTTAAACCAGAAGAACAAATCGTGAATGAATAGATAAACATAAATTAAAGAAAAAACAAAATCAGTTCATGCACATGAACAAACAATGAACTTCATTTCTGAAATTTTATGCTCATATAATAAGGACCAGGAGAAAATCCTCACCGCTTTGAAATCATTTATTAATTTAATCGCCATGGAAGCATTCATAAAGATAGAATGCAAAAAAGTAAAATCAATTAAACCCCAGCTTCATTTATAGTAAATTTTGTTTATATATCACGGCACAATCTTTTGTACATTGTGAACTTTCATTTTAGTATAGATGTATTCAAATTCGTTCATTACCCATTCCTTGAATCTAATAGACAAAATATAGATTCATTCAGTCACAACTGATCATGAGAAACATGGCTAAAATAAAAAACTATGGATAGATACTTGGAAATCGACCACCATCCATTCAAGTTAACATCACAAAAAAGAACAAAGAAAACAACCAATAGAAACAATCAAGAGAATAGTTCATCATTTAACCATATATGTACGGATAGATGAAAGAGCTTTCATGGTTAAAAGAATTATAAGAATAACTAGAACAGAACTACATCAGGAATTACTACTACCATCAAATTGAAATTTAAAGTAATTTTTTTGAGAATGGAAAATTAAAGTAACGATAACAACTAGTCATAACAAAACAATTACTATATTTTGAGTAAGAGAATCTAGCAAACTTGACAAATTTATTTGTGCAGTATGATGGTGATGCCAACATAGTGCATCAAGGGTAAGTATGCTACAGTCCACAGAGTCATTATAATAATATGGTCATGGAGCTGATCACCATATAAATAATATTATATTTGGGCATACATCCACAAGTTATTTGGCAATGCCATTCTTGAGGAAGATAGAATAGGACCTCTACAAGACCTTGCTGGTGATGAAAATATAAAACTTGGGAAGCAAGGGACGGCCTTTCTTAGACTCCGGCTTTTTTGAGATAGGTATGAATCTCCCCTTGAGAATGATAAAAAATTGACCAACACAATGCAGCCATATAAAACTACAGTACTTCACTACTATGGTCATTGAACAAAAACTGCTCCACTATATTCCTGAGACGTTCTAATCCACATTGCCGCAAACTCTGCTCACAATGATCTTCACTACCCTCTTTCACCATACTTTTGTCGGCCTCTTGAATAATCTCTTAGGTCGACTAAACATTTTCATCATTGATATTACCCTCAACAAAGGATTGGAACTTGGAGATGGCTTCATACCTTAAGAGGGATTAGCTACTGCCAAGCAACTTGTAGATATGTTGATAAAGGAAGTTTATCACAGAAATATATGTTTAAGGTCACTGAACACAAACTATTCCTCATTATTCTAGTCCTGACACTAATCATCCTAGTCAGATATTTCAACATCTCATATTCAAATCAGCAGAAAACTCCATCTGTAAATGATTCTCATGGAAAAAAATTAGTGAGCTTCTACCAGCACAATATACTTTGTCGACTAGGGTTAGAACAACCTCAAATTATCTTCAGAATCAAAAGTATACACCACCAAAAGAGTTCAATATATCAGGTTCAAATCAGCCAAAACTGCCATCTACAAGTGAATCTCCTAGAAGGAAATAAGAGAAGCATCTTAACACACAACATTACTTTGTCAATATGGGTTAGAACAACCTCAGAATATCTTCACAATCAGAACTCCAGTGCCAAAAAAAACAGTAAAGTGTACAAAGAGAAATAAGGGACAGGAGACACCATTGGAACAGCAAGCTCCCACTATTCTAGATACAACCAGCTCATCTAAACAGTCTCGAACAACGAGAACAGGCAAAAACCCTCAGCACAGGCTTTTTCAACATTGCAGGCCCACAACAGTTTCCCAGCTGCCCCTTCCAACAGATGGAGATTTAGAAGTTCCCAACCTGATCATCGAGCACCAAATAACTTTTCAGATCAACCATAGTCCCTTAAAAGGAGCTTTAAAGCCGGCCACGTATACAAATGTCCAGCCTACAGAATTTTTTGTTGATAGCAGGATGGATGAAAGCATGAGGGGCTCCAACCCTATAGCATGAATCGCATTGGGAAGTTATCCTTGAGAGGGACAGAGCACGTTTGCAATTAGCAATGTATAAATGACAAGTAATTAGAATAATCAACTGTTGAACGACTTACAACCATATATCCAGAATTCCTGGCAGGTTTAGCAAAGCCATGAGTAACCTATCAGGTTGAAAACTAAAACTAACACAAATCCTATTTATAGGTTCATAAACAAATTTGAAAGTCGGCAATGAACTTAATGCTATCTCCAAAAGTAAGTCCTCTGTTCCTTGTTGCAAACATATTTATTGCCAGAAACTCCTACATTCTGAACTTCAATTTTACAATGCACGCCAAGTTTGCAATGACCCCATGAACAGAATCATTGTAAAACACCCATGTTGCCTGACAAACCACCTTCAAAAAACTGCTTGCAGCCCATGGTGAACAAAGTATTCATGGCTCATGTGAATAATTCTAATTCAATTCTCTTAAGAAAAAAAAATTCATTCCAATCCACATTGGCATATGCTTTGCTCATACCTGTCTTCACTACTACATTTCCCTTAGACTTTCCATTGACCACTTTAGAAATCCTTTTGGCCAGTTAAACCATTATACCAATGGCACTTCGGAAAAAAACTGCTTGCAGTCCATGGTGAACAAAGTGTTCGTAGCTCATGTGAATAATTCTAATTCAAGTCTCTTAAAAAAAAAATTTATTCCAATCCACATTGGCATATGCTTTGCTCCTATCTGTCTCCACTATTATATTTCCCCTTAGACTTTCCGTTGACCACTTTAGAAATCCCTATGGCCAGTTAAACCATTATGACTATGGCACTTTGGAAAAAATCAGCTGACTACAAGAGAAACAATTTTAATCAAAAGCCAAACAGGATAACTAATTCAATCATAATGGAGTGCAGAGTATCTCAGCCAAGTTTATTCCGATAGGTTCAGATTCAGATCCAAGACCCAGAGCTGTACAAAGCAGGTCTTATTGGAAGCAGTAGTACATATACAGTGATAGTATCCCATTACTCCAGCCACAGATATGGAGTGACATAAAGCGTTCGACTCCAGAGTGAGGGTACAGAACTCATTAGTAGGTTTCAGCAACTATGTCTAGAAAGAGATGACCCTGCACTAACGTCTCAAAAATGTTAGATAATATTGAAATACACCCACTTGTTGTAACAAGAAGTTTCACTTCAAGGCCTACCCATGAATAATCAAATGAACCGTTGCAGTTCTCTTCTTTCCGATAGGTTCAGATTCAGATCCAAGACCCAGAAGTGTACAAAGCAGGTCTTATTCGAAGCAGTAGTGCATATACAGTGATAGTATCCCATTACTCCAGCCACAGATATGGAGTGACATAAAAGCGTTCGACTCCAGAGTGAGGGTAAAGAACTCGTTAGCAGGTTTCAGCAACTATGTCTAGAAAGCGATGAACCTGCACTAATGCCTCAAAAATGTTAGATAATATTGAAATACACCCACTTGTTTTAACAAGAAGTTTCACTTCAAAGCCAACCCATGAATAATCAAATGAACCGTTGCAGTTCTCTTCTTTATGCTAGTATTATTTTTGGAAAATAACCTAAAATAACTAGCAGCACATGAAAATGACCTCTAATAATTGAAATTTCAGGTTTGTAAAGTTTTTAGGACACATCCATTTAGAGATCATCTATTCTTTCAATATATCAATTTCCACAGAAGCAAACACAGAGATAGAATGCAAAAAAGAACTCCAACTTAATTTATTCTGTACATTGCAATCTTTCATCGTAGAAGCAGAAAAAGAAAAAAAATTGATAAGGGTTGAAAGGACGAACAGCAGGTAACACATGTTAAATTAAATATGAAAAAAAGATATACACAAAGAGCCTAGTTCATATATTGATACAAAGGAATCCACTACCCATCCATTGAATCAGACATAGAAAAACAAGAAATCCATTCATCCACAACTGACCAGGAGAAAAAATAACTAAAATGAAAAGCTATGAATAGATTCTAACAAACCTGAGTACTATTCATCCAAGTCAAGATCAAGACACCATTAGATGCATCTACTAACCATGTAACATTTGTACTTAACAAAAACAATTAAATGTATCCATAATATATAGATGAAACAAGTTGTCACAGTTAAAAGTAGCAAAAAAGTAGTACAAAAGAAATAAAGAACTACAACTATCAATATGAAATTCGATACACTTAGAACCAGGCTTTCAAAAATCACTGGGGCACCTCAGAACTGCCTGAGTGGAACCGGAACCAGCAACCACCCTGTCCGAGTCTCTCCCTAAAATGGGACTTGATCCTAAGGGTATACCAATAATATTAAAAAAAAGTTATTTTTATTATAAAATCAGTGTTTTTAGGGTGATTTGAAGTTCCTACGCCAGGTTTAAACATTTTAAAGCTTTTTAATTTTGTTTAAATTTTTTGCTTTTTTTATAAACATATGGCCGAGTCGGCCGAACCATGTGCCAACCTGCCAAATTTTAGAACAACACCAACTAGTACTACTAGAACATCAGGTATTATGTGTACTATTATTGTTTTGATTGGCATCAGGAGAAGGGAGGCACAACATACCTCGAGCTCGATTCCGCTAAACCCAAATGCAGAGTCCCCCTCCACCGCAACCACAAGCCTCTCAGGCATCGCCATGGCGGCTGCCACGCAGAATCCCAAACCCACTCCCATTGTCCCCCACGTCCCCGCATCCAGCCTCGTCCTTGGCTCCGTCTGCACCAACACTGCCCTCCCCAAATCCATAGTGTTAGCCCCCTCTGACACCACCACGGGCGCTGGCGAACCCTCTGCAATTATAGCATCCCTGATGATCCTCAATGGCGTCATGAAATTGAACGGCACCACATCCTTCTGCAATTGCATCTCCATCCTCTCGACATTGTCCCTTGCCTTCTTCACGAGCTTCTCGATCCATGGGTGGGAGTCCCCCAAATAAAATGGGTCATCCTTAATTGCCTTATTGAGCTGGTTCAATACCAGTAGAGCATCCCCTACAAGCCCTTGATGAGGTTTCCTAAGATCAATCTCGCTTTTGTCAATATCAATGAGTACGAATTTCACGTTTGGCGACCATTTGGGGGGCTCGCCAAAGTGGAGAAGCCAATTGAGGCGGGCGCCAACAACAAGAGCCACATCGCACTGGGCGAGGGCAAGGGAGCGGGCAGCGGTGGCAGCACGCGGGTGCGTGTCGGAGACGAGCCCCTTGCCCATCGGTGTCGGCAAGAAAGGGATGCCTGTGAGCTTTACAAGCTCCTGCAACTCCGTCTCAGCCCTCGCGTAGGCCGCCCCTTTCCCAAACACAATCAGGGGCCGCTCGGCATGCCTCAATAAAGCTGCAGCCTCATCAACTGCTTGCCCCGAAGCAAAGAGTTCAGGGCTGGGGCTAGGGTTCTGAAAGGTCGGCACAAATGGTGGGACAAGCTTTGCGAGCTCGAGGGCCTCACCATAGGGAACAGTCTGGTGTAGCACATCGGAGGGGAGGTCGATATACACAGGACCCGGCCTGCCCAAGGCAGATGAAGCAAGAGCATTGGCGACAACGGCAGGGATCTCCCGAATAGTTGTTGCGCGGCCTGAAAACTTGGTGAAGGGGCGGGTGGCGGCCAGCTGGTCAAGCTCCTGAAAATCACCCTTCCCCGCCGATGCTTGGTCACAGGAGCCGGAGATGAGGATGAGGGGCCAAACATTGGCCTGGCAATGGGCGAGGGCGGGGAGGGCGTGGACACAGCCAGGGCCAGAGACCGTAAGGAGAAGGGATGGGGCAGAGGTGAGGTAGGAGTGGGCGGCGGCCGCATATCCGGCAGCCTGCTCGTTGCGGAAGGCAACAAAGCGGATGCCGCGGGCGACACATGCGTTGGCGAGGCCAGTCACCGGGATGCCGACCACGCCGAACATGTGCGTTAGGCCCGCTTGGGCCAGGGCCATGGCCGTCATATGGTTGCCGTCTGCTGCTTTCAAGTATTCCTCCGCCATGGCTAGTGGGTTACAGAGAGAGAGATGTTGGGGTGGAAGCTAGGGTAGTTCTGGAAAGGTAAAACAATGGTTTTAGAGAGAGAAAGGGGATACGTGGGGAAGGAAATAAACTGGTTTTAGATAGGAAAAAGTGTGTCTGCGTATAAGCTAGGGTAGGCTTATAAATATCGTTTAGATAGAGAGATGTAGTTTGGGGAAAAGGGAAAAGACTGGTTTTGGAGAGAGAAAAGTAATTTGAGAGAGAGAGAGAGAGAGAGAGAGAGTGGAAGAGATGGCGGCTATGTAAGAGGAAACGTTATGGTTTCATAGAGAGGCAGAAATGATTCGGCTCCAAGCAGCAAAAATAAACCTAGTTTTCGAGAGTGAGTACGCGGGAAAGAGTGCGGTTTGTATAGGGCCTACGCTCTAAACAATCGAATTAGAGCTCCTGCAAATATTATCGATAAATGTGGTTTTCATACTGAAAATATTTGTGATAGCCTTAACATATATTTTTATTTTTATTCATAAAATTCAACGCTCCAAAAATAGTGTAGATCAACATATCTATAAAAACTTAAAAATTAATGGTCAAAAAATGCGTTGCAAAATACACTATTTTCAAAAGTTAAAATTTATTTTTTTTCTCATGTCCATATATCTTTATGTCGAGATGATCAATTTGATGATATTTAGACATCAAAATAACCTCTTTTAATAAAATTTTTGTAGTGGGTTATAATATGATTGTTTAGAGCCTCTCCCCAAAAAAAGGTTTTTATAGAAAGAGAAAGAGAAATAGAATTGAGTTGTTACTAATAGTTGCCTTCGCAAAAGTTAGCCTTTTGATTTAAAGAGCGTCGGCTAAAGTGAATTGGATCATCATCCCACCTACTGGGGAAGTTCTTATCAAACTCCTTTCAGTTTTGCAGTGATTTAAAATTCGCCTGAGTCAAAACATATGTATAGTTTTTGTCGTGGAAAACACCATTCCACCGTTAAAATGGGAAGAAAAGGGCAATATGGAAAAAAAGCTGATTTTTTTTTTTGGATTTTAAAAAACAATGACATTTTTTTAAATATTATGGGCGTTATTATTGTTATTTTGAAAATAATGGCGGTTATTTTCTTTCTCCATGTACCATTTTATATAAATAATATATAGTATAAAATAAGACCTGAAATTGCCTCCATGAGACCAGATTATAAGAGCTATTTTGTGGAAAAAAGATAAAAGAAACAGAATGGTTACTTAGTCCTGTTTTTTATGATCCTCCTTAGTACCTCTAAATATGGCAACATGCATGTCTTCTTCTTTTACTTTTCTTCTTGAGTGTCACGTGATAATAGGTTCATCCTCCTTAGTACCTCAAAATATGGCAACATACCCGTCTTCTTTTTTTATCTGAAGTGTCACATTGCAAATAGATTTTCCTTCGGCCTATCCTTGAATTCATGCGAGTCAACACGGGTTCAATTTCATGACAGTCAAAATCGGTCGATTTTTCGTTCAACTTTTCCTTAAATTCATGTGGGCGATAACAACGGGCCCATCCTTTTTCCCTTGAATTCATGTGGGGCGTTATAGATAACAACCGGCCGATCATTTAATTCATGCGAGTTGACATTCCAGTAAATCCTTGAATTCAGGGAATTCATGCGGCCGATCCTTGAATTCATGTGAGTCGACGTTCCAGTATATCCTTGAATTCATGCGAGTTGACACGGGAATTGGTCGATTTTTCGTACAATTTTTCCTTGAATTCATATGGGCGTTTTAGATAACAACCGGCGATTCTCCGCCCGAATCAATGTGATCCTTGAATTCATGTGGGCATTCTAGATAATAACCGTCGATTTTTCGCCCTAGTCAATGTGATAGGTGTCGTCATAACTCGTTTTTTTTTCCTTGAATTCATGTGGGCGTTCTAGATAATAACCGGCGATTCTCCGTCGGAGTCAATGTGATAGGTGATGTCATAACTCTTTTTTTTCAAAATAAGAGTGATTCTCTATAGTTAACCGCTCGTTTTTTTCAAAATAAGAGTGATTCTCTATAGTTAACCGCTCGTTTTTTTTCAAAATAAGCTCGTTTTTTTCAAAATAAGAGAACTTTACGACGCTTATGTCACCACACAAACAATCATGCGGCCCCACATCCCATTCATGCATCATTAGGTTCTACATTGGTCCTCAGGTCTTTTATATATATAAAATCCCTTTCAAATTTTCGATGTGGAACAATTCCCACTGTAGCACAAACCTATTAGCGTGGCATGGGCTTAGTGTAATCTCCTTCAGAGAGTTCTAACTGAAACTGGAGGAGAGAGAAGCCCCATGGGAGAAACTTGTTGGAAATGTAGCCTATCAAGCTTTTTTTCTCCTGAAAATTCATTTTTTTCAATAATGGTACAAAAGCCATATTGAAGTATATGTGAAATCTCATGTGGTTAACACGAGGCAATGCCATATACATGGATTCATTTTTTAGTTTTAATAGGATGTATTACTAGAGGGAAAACCCAATGGTGTGTTTGGATTTCTTGTAAATTGTGATAATGCTTAGATGATATCCTGTAATGTGAGTCATCAATAGACTAATAACAGGTTTAGCTCATTACATAGGACAACCTGTTAATCCTAATTAGTTGTACTTAAGGGAATTAAAACATGAGCTACACTAGGATCTCAACTCCTATATATAATGAATGTGAGAGTTACAAATCCCCTACTCAAAAAATACAATTAGCTCAATATAATATTCAAATATTCACAATGTACATCTCTACAACATGTTGCATGACTTGTACTCGCAATTCCTCATTATATCAAAATTGTATTATAATTTCATCTTCATTCTTCATCCTCATCATATATAATAATGTCTCATACACATCATACACTAGATCATAATAATTCGATAAGATTTTAATTTGTATAAACAATAATGCATAGCATTAAAATTCATACCGTAAGATTAAATAACAATCTCAATATACACTCAACATACTTAATTTAACCAATCATGAACCCATTTAATAACAGTAAATAAATCAAATTAACATGCAAACATACATGGGGAAACCATGGTTCGAACCCCTTGTGCCCGGCCCACGAAAGGGTCATTTAAGGACTAAATTTTGTCTCATTATCTAAGGCACGGGTGATAATAATAACTAAAAAAGATCAATCCAATAAGAAGCAAATGGTCACTTTTATTTCACTTAATAAGGATTAAATCATAAGAGAGACATGTATCAAAATAACCTTTTATAGTTTGAAAAAGATACTACACAAAATAAAGAAGTAATGGTGAAACTACACCATGTGGTCCACAATGGACCACACGAATTTTCAACATTAAAAAGAGAACTCAATGGACTATTTCATATGCTCAAATATGATGAAATAAACATCTCATTAATTGTATATTCTCAATAAAAATTCCAGAAAAACAAGATCAAGAAAAACAAGTTGAAACTACTCAAGATCATAAAGTAAGCAAACTAATCTACACATACCATGTGTATGGAATACACTATTGCTTTGAGACTCTTCAAATATCAAGTTTTCATAACAAAAATGAAGAAAGCTACTGTAAATTAAGAATTACATCAAGCTTTGATAATGGAAATGAGGTAAGAATTAAAAATTATACGAATAAAAATAAATACTTTAATGAAGCAATAATATGTAATTGATCACATAAATGAGAGACTATGGAAGGGTTTCAAATGAAAGCTCAAGGAAGAAGATAGTTTCATGGGTAGCCACATTTTTGTCAAGGGCTCTCTCTCTCTCTTTGAAGTGAATACTCAAGTTAATGTTATAATTGAACCTATAAGTTACGTTTATACTTAGATCGTAAAGATGGATTTAATATTGATCCTTAATGCCTTAGATCAATTACACATGAGAGGCTTTTATCCAAGCCACTCATCCATATCTTATCACCAAGATCAATGGATGAGCTTTTGACACCCTTCACTCTTTAAAGCCTAGGTTCATAGTCATTTTACCTTGAAGCCCTTAGCTCCATGTTTTATTTCCCATTCAGTCCAAATTCATGTTTACATTTATACCTATGGTTTTTGAATAATTTGTAAGAATCAATAAAATACAAGGACATGAACATAAAGGTAATATAGGATATCCACACATGTGATTAAAATATCTTATGACACCACCAATAGGATTTTAACAACATTAAAGTTTCACATGGGTCAAGTCCATAAGGTGGTGCCACATAAGATATACCCACATACTATAAAATCATATGTGGAAAATAATATGAATTAAATTAATTCTCAAAATTTTATGACTTTACACATACCAAAAATGACACATATGAGTAAAAAAAAATATGTAATTTAAATTAAACTTAAGTCATAACAATATATAACACTTTAAATAACAACATAACATGTTTTAACATAATACCAACAAAAGAATTAATGACAAATAGGTCCCCACATGGATATGACATCAGCATTATGTCATCCACGAGTGGGGAGGTGGGGGTGCCACGTGGCATCCCTATGGCCACTTGGGATCCATGTGGCATCCCCATAGGATGTATTTGTTTGGTATTTATGTCAAACAAATTTGAAAATCACATTTTTTATTGTTTAAAAAAATCTGAAATTTTTTTCAAAAATCCCAAAAATTCTCTAAATAATTTCTCAACATTATTACATAATTTATCATCAATATAAAATCTTTTCTCATCAATTTTAGATTAATTTGGGTCAAAAGTAAATGAGATCTCTAGACTTATAACATTAGTCGAAGTCTTCCATTGGGCTAACCCAAATGACGTTCCACCGGTGTCTCAAGCCGACCCAATGAACCTATGCTCCACAGTCTATGGCAGGAATACATAATTGGTTACATCAAAGTTGTTTAGCCAGAGCTTCCCTTCACCGAGAGTTCAATGGATTACTGGTGTACTCCTGTGGAACATGTTCATACTCAAATACAAAGGTCATCTCAAAGCACATGTGCACTAGCTCTTCTAAGTCAGATAATATTATAGAAGAGTGGCATCCCCATATGACTGTGGGCGCACATGCCATGGAACGGTCTTATGTCAGGATACGGGCTCATATCCTATGAGCCGACCTGTCACATCATACGTTTTAAAATACTAGAATCTTTGAGATGTGACAGTCGATTCTTAACAAAACAAATTCTTAAAATTCACCATTTATTGCGCTAAAACAATTTTCCATTTCTACGAGTCTACAAAGTCTACTCATAACTAATATTAACATGACAGTTTAGATATACATCTGTTGATAGAACAAAAATTTACAATGGTGAAGTTAAACAAAAGCTACAAAGGAGAATT